AGACAGACTGGAGAGGCAAGCCACGAGGAAAAGGGAAGATGGAATTCTGGTGCGCAGGCTGCAAGGGGAATCATCCCAGGGCAGAGTGCTGATTCCGGGATGCCATATGCCAACGGTGCAACCGGAAAGGGCATATAGCGAGAGCCTGCAGGCCATCTCAACCAGCAGCCCGAAGAAGCCACTCAAACCGCCCGCCAAGCTCACCGTCACCCAACCGGTCATTCAAGACAAATGGAAAAAAGCAACCGTTTAGAAGAAGTCGCAGAAGTGCGGACTCCGGATCGGAACGAGGCAACACCCACCAAATGTTACTAGTGGGTCATGCAAGCGTGGGAAAGTCCAACAAAATGGCAGCGACCGTACTCATCGAGGGGAGACCCTGCAAGATGGAGGTCGACTCGGGGTCCTGCCTATCCATGGTCTCCTGGAGAACAATACAACAGCTGGTTCCAGGCATCAAACCCAGCGCACTCAAACAGCAAAGGCTGACTCTCGTAGAATACCAAGGGAACCGAATCCCAGTAGGGATTCCACTGGAAGATTCAACATAGCCTACAAAACCTTCAAGGCAAAGTTAACCCTAACCATCGTGGACAGGGACAGACCTAGCCTATTGGGCCTGGAGTGGTTCGAGCCGCTAGGACTGGCGGTCACAGGCATTGATCACATCAACAACTGCAGCTGGGAAGAAGAACTGATGGCAGAATTCGCGGAAGTATTCAACAGCAAATTAGGCAAGTACACGGGGTCCCCAATATCCTTTAACCTAGACCCCCAAGTTGCCCCTGTCCAGATTAAACCCAGGAGGATCCCTTTTGCTCTAAAGCTCAAAATAGATGAGCAAATAGACAAGCTAGTTGCTCAAGGTGTATTAGAGCCTATAGACCATGTGAAATAGGAAACACCCATTGTCACCACAGTTAAGCCAGATGGGTCGGTACGCATCTGTGGTGACTACAAAAGTACCGTGAATAAGGCCCTGCAACAGAGCGCTTACCCGATACCAATGGTGCAACATCTGCTTCACTCGTTGGGCCGTGGAAAGATATTCGCTAAACTAGATCTAGATCTAGCACAGGCATATCAGCAGCTCCCTGTAGACAATGTCACAGCCGAAGCCCAAACAATCGTAACACACAGGGGTGCTTTCAAGTGCAAGCGGTTACAATTTGGAGTCAGTGTAGTCCCAGGATTGTTCCAAAACCTGATGGAACGATTACTACAAGGGATTGAGGGAGTTAACATCGGACAGAGTATTAGTTCAGTACAGCGAAATGCTGCCAATCCGGTTGATGTGCGACACATCACCTTTTGGCATCGGAGCTGTACTGAGCCATTGCATGCCAAACGGAAGAGAGGCCCCCATAGCATTTTACTCCAGAACGTTGAACGTTGTCCAAGCCAGAGAGGAACTACAGCCAGCTAGATAAAGAGGCACTAGCTGCAGTAGCCGGAATAAAAAGATTTCATGAGTATTTGTACAGCCGGAGATTCGAACTCATCACCGACCATAAACCATTACTGGGCATCATCGCCGGAGACAAACCCACACCCCCCATTCTATCACCAAGAATGCTGCGCTGGATAGAGTACCTTTCTCTCAAAGGATGACCCAACTGGTCACAGGGTTGTCTGGTACAATATTAACCTTGAGTAGTCAACAACAATCAAGTTCTATAAACACATAAAAAATAAAGCAAAAACTCTACAGAATTAAAGCCACAAACTAACCAAGGTGCCATAGCACTTCCACACCAAATGTACCTTTGTAAGGCTCAGTGCCTGGGAGAACAACTAAGACTACACAGCCTTCTAATGGGGTCCTCCAGATTATAGGATGGAACCTGTTCCACAAAGCAGGCACTGCTATGAAGAAGACCCACCTCCTGAATATCCCATCCAATGATATTGTTTGATGGGAGTGCTGGTATGTGCCTCTCTTATTTGATATGCTGGGACAGGCAAATAGCTTCAGAGAGAACTGGGTCTCAAACCATTCAGGGCTTTAAAGGTGAAAACCAGCCCTGAAGTAACCAGAGAGCCATTGCAGGTCACACAATACTGTAATTAGGCTATGGGGCACCCAGAACTGCCTGCGTCACTGCATTCTGGACCAATTGAAGTTTCTGGGTGGTTTTCAAGGACATCCCCATATAGAGTTCTGTATCCCCACATTAATATAATGTTTTATACATATCTATGGTTGAGAAATATTAGATGTAATTCTGACCTCTGCTGTCAAAAAAGAATAAAAATGGCAACCAAAATGAATAAGAGGTTGAAACAATATTGATATAAGGAAAATGTATGTTTGACGGCTTTTTAGGTTAGGAAGAAACAATAAATAAATATGGTGGGGTATGGAGAAACTAGACTAGGTAACATCATCAGTGCTGATGAGCACTGATGATGTTACCTAGTTCAGGTAATAAAACATCTGTAAGAAAACAACCAAGCTCAGAGAACACCAAGGACCCCTCAGTTTAAAAATATCTTGGAAGAAGAAAATGGCTAATGATTTGTACTGTTACCAAGAAAATTGCATGAATGTATCCATGTAATCATCAGGAATCAACCTTAAATTGAGGGTAATTTTGTCTTCACCTTACTGTTAATAAATTACTTCACTTTAATTGGTTGCAAAAAAAGAAAAAGAAAAGAAAGACCATGGTTTCAGCAACTGTAGGAAACTAGATAAAATAGGCATCCAGAATGCACAGACAGAACATTCTAGAAAGAAAACCACAATAAGAAGAATGGAGTCTGGGTGGATCAGTAATAGCTTCCTTTTCTTTTCACAACAAAGCAAATCAGTATTATTACCTGAAAACTTTTAGTAAAAAGTCATCCATGTCTGGGTTCAGGAGGGGGTTTGTAGTAATTAGCATACATTTTTCAACAAACAGCACACAGGCTGTTGGCACGGCATGTGTGCGAAAACACTGATGTTTACCCTATTATATTGCAATTTAAAGATGTCATAAAGTTTGCCCATGAGTTCATAAAACAGAAAAGAGCAAACTGAAGCATTGACCATGAAAAGGCTGTTCACCTTTCTGCTACTGAGAAGAGTTGAGTTTATCCCAGCTTGAGGATCTTTGGGGTTCATGACATAATTGTCAATGTGAGAGAAACGCAGAGTAATGAGGAAAGAAATATATTCCTCATTTATACTTAGCGATAGTTGGATATTTTTAGCAAATGAGTTGTCAGCAGAAAGGCTTCATTAGACCCATCAGGATATCTGGCCGTGAATAACAAATCCCACACTGTAGTGACAGTTTCTTTGAGCCAAAATGATGGAGCGCTTCTGACAAAAGCCATATTGTGCTCCCCATGCAAGAAGAACAAAAAAGACATCTTATTTTTAATTTGGGCAGGTTAATATTGACACAGTTAGTTTCTCCAGAGAGTCTGATGTATGAACAATGAACATTTACACAGGGCTCACTTGAGTAATCAAGTGTCATATGCCATCAATCAGAAAGTATTCTAACTATTGAGAAGAACAAAAACAAAATAAATTTCATTTTAGTCCTGTGCTTAAAATGGTGTTATTTTTAATTATTCAGGTTTACCACAGCTTTCTCTCAGAAAAAGAAATGTGACAATATATTTTGACTGTATATTCCTGCACCTCTATATCCCTCTGTTTTGTACTTGAATTGAAGTTAGCAGGATTTTTTTTTCTGTCCTTCAAGTACTTCAAACATATTCAGGTTCTTACAGGATAAAATAACAAAAAATGCAAATTACCATATTGCTTCTGAGTATAATTTAAGGGAATTATTCTTATGAAAATAATGGCAGCACAAGATTTGAGTTTCACACATAAAAGAATGAAAACAGCCAGTATTTTTTAAAAGTAAAATTAGTTCCATATTTTTTGTCTAAATAGTTTAGGAGTAGCAAAGCAAATTGAAATTATTTATGGTTCAAGGAATTGAAGTAGATTTCTGTCTTAAACTATCTAGAAATAAAATATGACTGTAACTTATTACAGATTTAGGTTCCAGTATGTGGGTGAATGGTTCAAAATTTAGTCTAGAGTTTTATTGAAGCTCAGTTTTAAGACATTATCTAATTAGCATTTGACTTCTAAATTCGAAGGAAGTTAAATTAGAATATGGAAATTATTGGAAATATGAAGCATGAAATGTGAATGCTTATATTTAGCATATTGTATCTACTAGTCAAAATAGTATATTGAACAACATTCAATCCTAAGAGCCCTTGCATATTAGATTGTTTGACTATACGTATTTATTTATTGGTTTATCCGTGCCTCAACTTTTGGGGGTATGCAAATAATACAGATATTCCTTGAGTTACGACTATAATTGAACCCAAAATTTATGTTGCTAAGACATTTGTTAAGTGAGTTTTGCCCCATTTTATGACCTTTCTTGCCACAGTTGCTATGAGAATCACTGCAGCTGTTAAGTTAGTAACAATTATTATTAACAATTATTAACAGTAATTTTTATTATGTATTTGATTAATCCATTACATGTATTATTTATGATGAAATACGTTTGACAGCATTTCTTATTTATTGTAAACCCAATAAACCCAAAGCAGATTTTAAAAATGGCTGAAGAATTAAAATAAAAACTGAGGATTTCTATAAAGAGAAACAGATTTTTTATAAGAGAATCTCTACGTGCCTGAATAAATGACCTGGGAGAATAGTTTGACAGGGCAGTACAGAAGAGAGATTGTCAGAATAATGCAGCTGAATTCATGTTGTACCTCAGATTATTAATGTTTGAAAGGTCTGGCTCTATCATCATCATATCACACTTCCCAATTAAGACTTTGTATTGCCTAAGATGCTTTTATTTTTGCTGAAAATTTCACCCTAATAAAAACTTGAGAGACCTATCATTACTCCAGGTTTTCAAATGACTTCAAATATCACTTTGTATGTACGAATATGAGAGTTTCAGTTGTTAATTCAATTATTTTCTTCAGTAAATAGTTGATTTGTCATATTACAGGATTATCTGTTTCACAGAAATATCAATGAAGACCTGAAAGCCTTTGTAGATAAATATGGTTTTGATGTCCTTGTCATTTCGGCCAGCTATTTATCAGAAGGACAAGAAAAAAAGCAAATAGCAGTTTATTCAGAAAACATGGAGCTAGGAAATCAGGTATGTATTCTGGAAAAGAGACTGAAATAATATAAAAACTGGCATTGTCATAGAGGATGCAATATTACATCATATTTTGCCATTATTTTTAATAATACAGGATGTTAAATTCTTAGAACAATAAAACATCATTAGATGGTTAAATGATAGAAAAATTAGAGAAGAAAAGCAATTCTAAATTTTAAAAACTGAACTCTCTTTTAATAGTTTTATGTCATTGTTTTGTTTTTATTTAACACCTAAATCATGAATGTGCATGGATTTCTCAGTATAGTTTTTAAATCTGCATCTTTAGATAGAATAGTCATAAATACTATATATTAGAAATAACCCAGTTTCTGTATTTTTTGCTGTCTAAAGTTCACACCACAATAATTACTTTTTTTTAATCAAAGCATATTTGTATTTATTGTTTTGGTTGAAGAAAAGATATGCTTCTTCTCCATGTCCTAGAATGTCCCCTACTCTAGCGGTCTTTACAGTATAATATACTTGTTTGCTATTTTTGATATATTTAACTTTAAAATATCTTTTCTTACAGTTATATCTAATCTTAAACCCATCTTTGCAGGCTCGAGTTATTTGCTGATATTCTGCCTTAGTTATATGTCCCTCTTTCCACTTTTTATACTTGTCCTTTTTATCTTTCAATTTATCGGAGAATTCTTTATGCACCTATGCTGGTTTCTTTTGAGAGCTGTTATTTTTCTTCTCTTCTCCACTGATATTGTGCTAGACTGGGCTTTTATAATCTTACTTTTCAAAGTTTTCCAAGCTTCTTGGGTTGTTTTCCCCTTGAGGATTCTCACCCATGGAATCCTTCCTAGGCTGTCTCTAGTTTATTGGAATTAGTCCTTTTAAAGATTCTAGTTTGACTTTGTTCTTATGTTAATATATTGTTAATATGAATTAACTTGTTAATGTGAATTAATGTGACACTGTATCATAGAAAGACCAGACAATTTGGATATATTCATATATGTGAGAGTTCCACCACTCTCACATATATGAATATATCCAAATTGTCTGGTCTTTCTATGATACAGTGTCACATTAATTCACATTAACAAGTTAATTCATATTAACAATATATTCAAATATTATTATTATTAACATTTTTAAATGTTACAGACTGCTGTGGTCAAATGTTTATTCCCACTAGGGAAAGAATATGATGAACCTATCTGAAATTGGCCATGCTCTTAGGAAACTTAGGTCCATTAATTAGAGGACTACCATATTTTTTGGAGTATAAGACACACCTTTTCCCCCCTAAAAGGGGTAAAAATTTAAGTGCATCTTAAACACTGAATGTAGCCCCGCCCACTCACTGGCCCCCACCCTTTGGCCTCTGCCTTGCAGAAGTTACCTCCTTGCAAGCAAACAGCAAGAAAAAACAGCTCCTTTCAGCTTCAGCACAGCCTAATTAGCACAAGTTGATTGGATCGGCCTCCCGCCTCTCAGATGATTTTCTCTCAGCTGTTTTGCGCAGGCCTCTGCTGCTTGCTGCAAAGTGGTAAATTGCTGGAGCAGATTTTTTTTTCCCTTGTGCTAATAAAGCTATGCTGAAAACGAAAATGAAAGTAAGGCAGGCTGTTTGCTGTTTGCTGCAACGAGGCAAAATTTCTCAGAGGCAGAGGCAGATTTCTTTTTCTTCTTTTCCTCACCAAAAAAGGTAGGTGCATCTTATACTCCGGTGCGTCTTATACTCTGGTGCGTCTTATACTCCGAAAAATACAGTAATTAGTAATTAAATAAACCCAATGTTGAATTTAATTTTTTTCTTAAGCATTTCATTGGCTTTTGCTTTTTACAATGACATTGAAATAATCTAGCATTCTATGCTAGATTCATCTAGTCTAGTCCCACATAAATTTATTAGGCAGTGATTAGCAATAACTGAATTGAGCCCTCATCAAACCATGCACATATATTAGTGCAATGCTTCTTTCCCCAGAATTTGCCCCCATTCTAATATGGCAAGGTTCTGGTGAATTCTGGGAATGGTGGATGGCTATTGTTGTTTTATCTGGTGCTTCTAAATAATGCTGGACTGAGAATACTGCATAACAATATTTGCTTTTATTCTTCTAAGGGTAGGGGAATATTAGGGACCAAGGTCAGTAATATTAGACTCTCTGAGACCGATAGGCTAAAGTTTTATTTCATTTAAGTTCCTGTTGCTTAAGCACTTGCTCAGAGTATATTAGAACATGAAAAGTATTACAAAGGAAAAAGAAGTAGACTTATTAAATCAGTATTAATTTTTATTAAACTTACTTTCATTATGTACAGTTGATTAAACAAAACTCTGGTGTTCAATATATTTTTTTTCCTTAATAGATTTGCTGCGAATTAGAAGAATGTCAGAATCCATGCCTGGAACTGGATCCTATGGAATATGGATGTGACCAACTTCTTATTTACCAGCAAGAGAATTACGTAGCAAATGGTGATGAAATTTTTTTGCTAATGAAAGATGTTATTAGCAGAAGACATCCTGAAATGGCACCAAATAGTAGAACATCTTCCACCGAAGCTGTGGCTGGAAGTGCTCCACTTTCTCAAGGGTCTTCTGGTATTATGGAACTATATGGTTCAGACATTGAACCACAACCAAATGTTGTGAACTTTATAGAAAACCCTCAAGATCATAATGGGTCAGGGCAAGCTCATGCTGATGTTAACATAGACCTTGTGAGTCCTGACAGTGGTCTTGCTACTATTAGAAGCAGCAGATCATCTAAGGAGAGCTCAGTTTTTCTTAGTGATGATAGTCCAGTAGCAGAAGGGGGTGCATCTCATCATAGTTTTCTTTCTGGATTTGACTCTTATAGTCCCATTCCTGAAGGAGCAGTTGCTGAAGAAGAAAAGCCTCCATCTAGAAATAGTAGTGACAATTACGATCTTTTTAATTTTGATTTAGCACCTATGCCATCAGTTGAGACATTGTCTTCACATTTGGTGGACTGTTCTGTGGATGATTTCTCCCATGACAGTGGTTCATCAGAAGAACAGTTGTCAGCTAGTTCAAAAGCAGATGAGAAGACAAATCTATCGGAATGCGATATTGCAAGTTATTCAATAGACTTTCGAAGAAGAAATGAGGATGATGATATAGTAACATTGAATGAATCTGGCCACCAAGAAGAAAATCACAGAAGTTTCTCTGAAAATAAATCAAATTTGGTTGCCTTGGAAAATGAATTTTCTTCTTGTCCAGAAATCTTGAAAAGTGGTGAGAGAAGAACTCCCCCAACCCCAATGAATAGCCTTGTAGAAACATCGCCTTTAGATAGTGGGCCACCTTTATTTTATCCACAAGATGTAATTGAAAGAATTAATGAAATTGATCATGTTAAAAATCCTCATTCTCGCATTAGATATGGGAGCTGGTGGGATGGTTTTGAATTAGATTCCAAAAATGTTGATACATGGAATTCAACTGAGCCAGAATCTGTATTTCAGAGTCCTGATTCATGGAAAGATTATAAATTAAATATGTTACTGAGACAGCAAACTGACAGAAGAGCATCAGATTCAGCATGTATACAAAAGCAACCAAAGCATATGGAATTTTCAAGAACAGATACTTGGAAAAAACCATTTAGTCCTGCCCAAAATACTTTGGAGTTTCAACAGAAAGATGATGAACAGCAAATAGAAGAATTTTCTAATGTGTGGAACTCCAGTCAACCAGCTTGTGGACAGTGGAATAATAGTGGACATATAAAGACAAACTTGCCTAATGTTTGGGCAGAGTTTGAACATGATATCTCAAGACCCACAGAACATCCATGGAATGTTTCTCAAGTGGAATTTGATCACTTTTCACAAAATTTTGATAAATATTCTATGTCTAAATCTTTGCTGGAATTATCTGTAGATAATTTAAGTGAAAATCCAAAAAATCAAATTGATTTCAGTTCTCAAAACAACAGGGAAGATAGCTCATTAAGAAATCATACAGCATATAAAAATGCAAAATCTAGTTTTGGCATTATGCAGAAAGATGTTAAAATGATTACAGAAAACCATAGTAACACTAAGTCTGACAATACCACTGTCTGGGAGCCTTGTGATTCAAACATCAGGAAAGATATGCTTGGAAATCTTGGCTCTTGGGAAGATCCCTTTCTGTCATACAAAGATCCAGAATTTGTTACATCAAATACAGGTGAAGATCTGATTGTTTCTCCACCAGATACAAACTATTCAACATCTGATTCATATGTGTCACCCACAGGTGTTGGAGATGAAAAAGAAAGTGAAGACAAATATTCTGATAGAAAGCCAATCTTTGACCAAATAAGAAACTCAAATTCAGATGAAACTGGAACGGAAACATATGATTTATCAGATAATAAGTCATTGCCACAAACATTTCCTGTATGTTCATCTGATTACAGTGAAGTAAGTTGGGAACAAACCCTTAATAATGAAAAACAAGTAGAAGCTGAACATTCTGACCTTAATATAAAAGATGCTGTTGTATATGATTCAGAACAAAAAGTTGCAGAGCTTTTTTCAGGTGACTATGATGTTGATGACAGTAGTCCTTCTGAAAATAGTGGAGTGATGTTGATCCCTGCACAAAAAGATAATAATTCCCCTCTAAGTAGTATCGTGTGCACAAAAGAAGAAAATGGTGAGAGGAATAATGAAATCATTTTTGAAGACATAGGATCTCCTTGTTTTGAAGCAAATGATACAGAAAACGACATTTTAGTTAATTATCAACCTAGACAAAACAATCAATCAGATCAAGAAAGTAAACTTCTGAACAAGCAATTTGACCAGAAGGCTGAACATCTTCAGCACGATCAAGAAATTACATTGGAGGATAACAGCTTAACTTACTCCTCATCACTAGAAGTCATTGAAAATAAAACTATTGTAGGGTCATTCCCTCTTAATAATATTAGAAATGAAACAATGCAAAATGACATGCAACTGTCACTTTTACTACCTCTTTCATATGTTAATAGTTCAGAAGAAAGCAGAACAATTTCTGATTATCCCAGTTCTCCAGAAAAAACTATAACTAGTGGAAGTCTGGAAGAAGTAGCAGCAGAACCACCAGAAGTAAATGTATCATTTTCCAATTGGACTCATCTTATCACAGAGGAAAATAATGAGGTATCCCAAGACAATAATGTGAAACATGTTATGTCTCCCAAAGAAGATAATGATAATTTGGATCATTTTAACACGATTGAATATCAAAACTACCATTCAGAGGGGGTGTCTACACTAGTTTCTAAACCTTTTGATGAAGATCTATCTGAACAAAATATTCCTGATATGGAAAGTCCCTCTTCAGTTTCTCCCAGAGAAGAATGTAATCAAAGGAACCATTATCCAATAATGGTTGAAAATCAAAACATGATTAATAGATCAGAAATGAACGCTTCAGAGTCAGAACAATCAAATCTTTTTTTGCATGCTAAAGAACAACCATCAATAGGAGACGAGTCAACCCCTAACTTGAACACTGATAAATTTGAATTGGAAAGTTGTGAAGACATTTCAGAAATGCTCGACATTGAAGACACAACTTCAAATTATGGAAATGAAGGAATTTCACAGAATCTATATGCAGAAGATATTGAACCCCTGGATACAACAGATAAGCCACTACCAAATAATTTATTACCATATAAAGCTGATTCTTCTGAATTAAGTGAAACTCCTGAAAGTGTGGAGAGTGAGAATGAGTTTGCTCATGAAAAATGTATTGATATTATACTGCATCATGAATTGTCCCAAATCCTTGATGCTTGGAATACATCAGTGAGTGAAGAAATGCAGTTTGCTGGATTAAGCCCCATGAAGAATGAAATGTCAGAAGGATCAAGTAATTCCCCTACAAATACTTCCCTCAAAATTACTGGTGAGGAAGATAATAGCAGTGGCGGGTCCATTAATAATGATACATATTCAGGTCCAACAAGCCCAGATATAAGTGATTCTTCAACTAATATACATACCAGGGAGAATTTTCAAGGAAGTAATACCCAGAGTGAAGGTATATGGGACGTTACAAATGATATCAAAATAGATGAATCTGGAAAGGAATCCCTTGAAAATAAAAGCCAAGAAGATTCTGAAACAAACACTGATCACAAAGTTCCTAAAAACTTAGTTCTTTGGAATGCTCATGTGGATGATGATACATCTTCGTTATCAAGTCCTGGAACAGATGAAGTTTCAGAATGTTCAAATAGACATCAGGGAGGAATAGAGTCAGATTTAGACTCTGAGAAATTGGAGGATGCTATGAGAGAGAGTGAATCTTTGCATTTCCATGAAACCAATCTTATAGTTGATTCAAAAAATTCAAATGGTCAACCTAAATTGAAGGAAAATGCTCAGATGGATGCATTAAATAAAACCTCCAAAGATGTTAATATTATAACAGAAGACTATGCCCATGAAACATCTGAATATTTTATAGAAAGCGAAATAGATCAGGAAGATGTACATAATCACCTTGAACAAACATCTGCTGTAAACAATGAAGAAATTTATAATCCAAATAATTTAGATGCCTGGGATATTCTGTTGCAAGATAATGCAAAAAGTGCATTAGATGAAAATAAAAAATCCATAGAAGAATGTTTTGGATTTCCAGATGATACATTTGAATGGTGGAATTTGGAAAAACAAAATGAGAGTTCACTTGGATTGAATTCAAGGAATGATTTAGAAAGAAACTATGCAAGAGTTATCCCTGATAATACATGGGCAGTAAATCCAAAAATAAATGAAAATGTTGAAGAACCAAATCTTACAGCTACTTCCACACATGAAAAAGAATCTACACAATGTAACAATATACATGAATATAAAAATGAGGAACCTGTACTGACTCATTGGTATGAAGGGTCAGATCAAGCTTGTGCAAACATTGGAGAATATGATGGACTACCGTGGCCACATATTGATGAAACAGAGAGAAGACAAGAACCCTCTCCTAATACTGTTAAACAAACTGTTCCAGAAGACTGGCAGACAAGCCTGCTAAATGCTGTTGCTCAGGAAGATCTAAAACTTGATCCAAATATGATAACTAGAAGTAGATTTGTCCCCAGAATAATAAATCAGTACAGTGAAATGCAACCAGAGACTATTAACAAATCTCCATCTGATCCTTCACTATCTTTAACAAAACCTTTGAGCTCAACACCTACTGAAGAAAGAATTAACCAAGGAAATTCATTTGTTCCTGACATATTACAGAACAGCACCCCAGGAAACTGCCAGATATTTAGTATTGATCCAGATTTGTGGACTGATGTAGACCATCCCTTCATTTTGAAAACAAGCAGAGAAAACCCAGATATATTAAATCACTTTGATCAAGACAGCAGTTCACAGGCCTCAAGCAGTCCTGATGTTTGCCAGTATGAAAGCAAGGAAACATATGCACAAACCTCTGTCCTAGCTGAACATGAGGAGCTCGGAGTGATGTCTCCCAACTTGTTAAAAGACACTGATTTTCATTTTAAACAGCAACTGGCAATTGACAGAGTGGAATTATGTCCTGAAGAAAACGACTCATGTCTTTCAAATAAGTATGAGAAAATCTACCAAGGAACATCTCCAAATGACAAACTACCTGAAGTTGAAAAAGAAAATATTAATCAGGAATCTGTTTTGGCCACAGATAATTTTATGTGTGATAATTTTCCTGTAAATGATCAGCTTTCAGCCTTTGGCCATGTAACAGGACTAACTGAACAGCTGAAAACAGTGCATACTGCACTTGATGACACTGGAAAAGAGTATAGTATGAATAAGGTACCAATTATGAATAACCAATGTGTGATGCTGAATGAAACTAATCCTTTAACAGTCATTGACGAATCAGAGAAAACAGAAATTCATCCAACACTTACAAAGAAACAATCACCACAAGCCTCATTAGAAGAAAAGGAAAAGATCCTATATGATTCAGAAATACAATATTCTGCAGATAGTCTACAAAATCTTCAAAATACACAGGAAAATTATAGTCCAGAGTTTATAGAATCACCCCATAAACAATTAACACTAGCATGTGTTTCTCCTTTTGGTTTGGACACTCTTCAAAAAGATGACATGAACATTTCAGGATCTAACTCTACTCTCATAAAAGATGATGTTGCTGAATATTCTCAACAGGGTTGGGGATCCCTGTTATTAGAATCTGATGGGACTCCTGGATCTTCATGTACTTTGAAAGCATTTGAGTTTGAAACAGATTCAAGTAATATTGAATCTCCAGTTGCTGGTAGTGAAATTGACATTTTGGAATCTAAAGCTACTAGTTTAAAAAATGAGGTTACAGAAGATCAAGAAAATCAAGGCTGGGAGTCATTTTTATTAGAATCTGATGAGAAATTGCAACCCTCATGTGTTTTTAAAAAACCTGTGCATGAAATATATTCAAATAGTATTGATTCACCAACTAGCGAATATGAAAATAACCTTTTAGAAAAGAAATCTGATGATGTAAATAGCAAAGCTGGAGAAAGTTGTGAAAACTGGGATTCTTTATTGCTGGACTCGGAAGTAATTCCCGACTTAACAGATGATTTGAACAAATGTGAATCCAAAGAAAAATCAACTCATATTGATTCACCAGCAGATGGAGTCATAAGCGTAAACAACGGTGAGTAAAATTAGCACATTTATTAGCATAAGATTTTTTCTAGGCAAGTAAAATCTTTTTTTGCATATATTATAATCATGAAATGATTTAGAAATAAATTATGAAAACTTTTCCAAATAAAATGTAAAAATGGAGATACTGTTTTTAAAAAAAGTATATTTATTTTTAAAAGAATATTTCTTCTTAAAAAATAAATATTCAAAATCAATGCATACACCGTAAATGTATTTTTAGAGACATTCACTCACACACGCTATAAATGCAATATTCTTTTCCAGCTGTGAATTGTCTAGCATGTCTTATTTTAAGTGAAAAACTATTCTAAGTAAAACATATAATGAAATAATAAGAGGCTATACAAATCAAACTGATAACTGTTTTCATATTTAAAATTAGCAGGAAGAATTAACCGCTTTAACTAAAACTTTTTTTGTTTAATTTCAGAAGCTGTCTGTGATGTGTTTAATTTTGATAGTAAAGAGACCAAGTTCCCAGAAAGGACAAGAAAGGACAATAAGGAAGATAAACAATTACAGGAAGCAGAAGAGCAGTCTTCTTTAGAAATGGACTATATACTCATTAGCGGTGAAGAACATGTATCTTTGACAAAGGACTTATTGGTAACACAAGAAAGCAATTTCCCTTCAGCAGTTGCTGAACAAATGGATTCTCTTGAAACATTTTCAGCAGACTCCTCGGATACATTACAGTCAATCTCCATAATAAATGAAAGTGAAGGACAGTCTACTCTGGAGAATGAATGGGACTCTTTCTACTTAGAAGAGAAAAGTTCTGCTCCTGTGCCCCAAAAATGGGAAGGTGAAAATAAATCACCCAGAATCCTTGTACAAGACCAGGAGTGGACTATAGTAGGCCAAAATGGAGAGCAGGAGGTATCATCTGAAGATAATTGTAGCAAGCCAGTCACAATAGAGTCATTATGCAGACAATCCATTAAAGAATTAGACAATGTTTTAAGCCAGGAACTGATCTCTGAGACCCAAACTGATATCCCACCAGATAAAAGCTCTTACCAAGCCTGGGAACAACAGGACAAGATTTCATGTGATACCAAAACAGATGCTCCTTTCTTGCAAGTGGATGCTAATGATGTTGAATTGGATGATCATCCACAACAACCTCCTGGAGAGAGCATGGTTAAAGAACAAGAAACAGAAGACGAGATTCCATCTGTGGACAATGAAAGACATCTCCATCAAACAGTAGGGTAAGAACAGACCTGTAAATGTTAAGGCCTACAAATGTTATTGCTGAATTTATGATTGATGAATGTATTGGTACATTTCAGAAGGTTGCTCACACCAAAGCAAGAAGTAGATAAACTTTATACTAGTATAAGAGCTTCCTTTTATACAAGGCAGATTATCTAACTTTTACCTCTCCTATATTCTGCAACAATCCAGTATAGAGCAATCCAGCAACTGATGATGTGCAATGAAGATATGCATTGATGAATAGTACTAACTGTGTCTATTGAAAGGATATTTGACTTTTGAAATACATTTTGTGTTGTATATTTTCAATGTAGATGCTGTAGGAGGAAAATAATAGTCAAAGGTATTGGTAGCTAAAGATCAGATGGAGCCTGTTATAACAATATTATTAAAAGACATAAGGTGTTATGAACTTCATCAGATACATAAAGAGGCTATGTGTCAGCCCATATGCCTGAAAACATCTATAGTTTTGCATACTTTGATATATTATCAACAAGAACATATTTGTCTTTAACTTACAGTAATTGATTCAGTGATGTTTGAAATTCTGTTAATATCAGTCTAAACCAGGTGTCAGCAACCTGTGGCTCCAGAGCTGCATGCGGCTCTTTGGGCCCTCTGCTGTGGCTCCCTGTCGGGTGATCCCACCACTGGCTGGCCCCACCCCTTGCCCTCCCCCCAGTCACTTCTTGTCTGGCCTGAGAAGGTAAGGACAACGGCAGGGGATGGAGAAGCGGCCAGGGCAGAGACAGAGAGATAAAGAGAGGGGGGGAGGGAGGAAGAGAGAGATGTCAAAAGGGTTTTGTGGTTCCCAGTGTTTTTTTAACGATCAGTTCTCTGCCCTAATGACCGGCTGGGTAAGCGTGGCTAGGGGGGTGTCATGTGACTGGTGGAAGTGAGTGATGTCGAGTTGGCCATGCCCACCCAGGTTTTGTGGCTCCCGGTGTTTTCTTTTCTGTGGAAAACGGGTTCAAATGGCTCTTTGAGTGTTTAAGGTTGCAGACCCCTGGTCTAAACCTAAACTTTGATACAGTGATGTAGTGTTGTTACCAAGCAGCTAACCTGCATATTGAGAATTCTGATTTAAAGTGTGTCTTAGGCAATCTCTGTTAGAAAAGCTGGATGTAAATAAAATCAAATAATAAATACAGTTTAAATATAATTTGTCATTCAAAATAGCACAAAATAACTTTGATCTAATTTTTAAGATATCAAATGTCAAAGTTTGTAGTGAACAAAATTATTCTAACCATCATCCTATTGTCCCATTTTCCACTCCTGTTCCTGGGGGCCTGGGCCTTTGTTTAAAAAGACATTGTTCATTTCTCATATTAATTGAATCTTTTTCCTTTTTCCTTTCAAATCAACTTTCACAGTTCTTAGTTGTTTTTACTGTTACCGTATTTTTAATCTATCCTGTACAGGTAGTCTTCTTTTAGCTACTGCTTCATTTAGCTACTATTTGCAGTTATGATGGTGATGGAAAAAACAACTATGACTAGTCTATGATTTCACAGGTCTATAAAGCAAAGGAAAGTTGAAGTAAGAACATAAACACTGTCTATCAACTCACAGAGCATCCCTGGCCTGCTCACCAGTTGTAGGTTTCACTTACCTTCGCTACTGGTTTGGAACTGTGAGCACCTGTGTGCGCTTGCTTCGCTTGTGCGTGGCACTTCTGCGCATGCGCAGAGTGTTCATGATAACATCTGGGCAGGTGGGCGGAGCCTCCTGCCGCAGTTGCTACTGGTTCGCCCGCCACTGTTGCTCACTTAGTAACTGCTTTGTTGAATGACCTAGTTGTTGTTCCCAATTGTGGTTCTTAAATGAGAACTACCCATAGATCTTTTCTCAGTTCGTGACCTCTCAACCGTCACAGATTCTTTGGTAGAACTTGGACAAGCTAGGGATCTGGGTTACCTCTGAAATATTGCAGAGAAAGAAATGTTGAAGTGACACTATGTATTCATCCCCTCCCCCATACCCCCCAGTTCAGTTCTGTATGTCCTGTGTGAGCAAAATAAACATGAAGTGATCCTAATTTCACTGGAGCATGAAAACTTGCTATAACAAGTTACTTGTTATTTAACTTTTTCCTCCAGTCCTATGCTTAAGTGCATTACTTGTTGATGCCTTGTCTCAGAATGCCATGCAATTCTTGCAAAATATATTGCAAACGTTTAGTTTGTCTTCTTGAAGGTAATCTCTTAGCTGCAAATCTCATGACCATAATAATGGCGCATATAAACATTTTTGGTTTTTCTCATTCCGTTTATATTTTGCATAAACTGCACCACCTCACCTGAGTCTATCACAGTGGGGTTTTTTCCATGTAAAGACTTTTTTAACTTTATCAAATAATTTTACCTCTCCTCTTGTTTTTATAGATCTAAGCATATTTCAGAACATTACATTACTATTTTTTTTTATTTTTTTTTATTTTGATTTATATGCCACCCTTCTCCGAAGACTCAGGGCAGCTTACAATGTGTTAAGCAATAGCCTTCATACTTTTGTATATTTATACAAAGTCAGCTTATTGCCCCCACAATCTGGGTCCCCATTTTACCTACCTTAGAAAGGATGGAAGGCTGAGTCAACCCTGACTCAATTTGAGATAAACTTATCCATTTAATCATTTGTTTATATATAAATTCTAGAAAACAAAATTTATCCAATAATTTATTTGGATTTATGTCACTAGTCCTTTCTTAAAAGTGCCCTGGAACCAAAATATAATTGTGTGTACAATCAAAATCCCAGAAATACAAAATTATTTTAATTTTGAAGGCTGAGAACTGAATGGGAACTAGCTTGCTCAATAGATCAACTTTACTCAACTGGCTGGAATTTTAGCATTAGCACATCAGGAAGTCTCTGAACTGGAGAAGGCTAATTTTCATAATATGACAGATTTATAACCCTGCATGGAAATGACTACATATCTCTTAATGCTATTTTCTACACACTGGCACATATTTAAAGATACTTTTCAAGGAAAAGAAATAGCCTTTTAATTAATTGGATAATGCAGAAAAAAAAGTGGCTTTTGCTTAGAGATCCCAGTAAAAATTCTCTATTCTGCCTGAAGATACCCATTGAATCTGCCCTCTTTTGCGTTGTTTTTTTAAATGAAATTCTCCACCACTTTAAATTCTTTAAGTGATGTAGATTACATAAAGCTATCCAACACACAGCTTCAAACTTGCTTCTAAATTGATTATGAGATTTATTTTATTTGGTTTTCACGGTTATGTGCTTGCCACCAGTAAAGAAAAAGAGTTCTTCTTAATAAGTCTGTTAGTATTCGGTGTTCTTTGAGTGCCTATTAGAATGGCTGATTGGATATGCACAGCGTGGTATCCAAAAGCAGGTGATCATCTTCCTTATTTAGAACTGGCATCGGTCATGTGATCAGAAAAATGGTGAAGATCTCCGTTTCTAGTAAGCTGCCATGGGAAGGAGATGCTGAAATAAAGTCCTAAAGCAGCTTTGCACTTTTCCTATTGCAAAACTGCTTTTTAAACCTGAGGAAGGTAAGCATGCCGCTTGTACGGAGCAATCGGCAAAGACGTTGTTTTGTTTTTTTTTTTGAAAAAAACCAGCTCTATTGTTGCAGTTAATTCGGAGGGAGGCGAGGGAGAAGAGAATATGCATCAGCAGGATTGCAAAGGGTTTGCTGTCTCATAAGGAAATTAAGCAGCTGTGACTTGAAATTCAGTCACATCTGGTTACGAAGGAAACGGTATCTTCTTTTCAGAGATATGTCGAGTTGCAAGATGACGTGCTTTTTGTAATTAACGAGCAGAACTTTACTGTGTATTTTAATTGCATAATCCTCCTCATTAGTATGATTTTGTTCTCCGCATAGCTTTTTGATGGTGGTAATGAAGAGGAAAGAAAGGCACTTCCACTATCTAAAAAGCTTGCTTAACTAAGGGGAAGCAACTAAGTGCACTTGAGATTGTTATCAGTCTTACAGCAGTATAATAGGTGACTGTGCTGTTTTAGGTCCTTTTCTGTCAGGGAGAAGCATATAAGGTTTCTTTCTTGAAGTATCCTCTGGCTGTTCAGAAGGAATTGGCTTTCCAATGGACAACGTGTGGAAAACACAAAGCTTGAAAAATGAGCAAGCATTACCTAGAATTGTGGCTCTTTGGTTATGTCTGCCAGTAAAAAAAATAAAATAAAAATGAAATATTTCTGTGAGAAACTTGTTTTCAGAAAATGCTTTGTGCAGTGACAAGAAATGACCACATGCACAACAGCTTTCAGAAAAGAAAACACTTAAGAGGAAGATTTAATAGAAATATAGGAATAGGACGGAGGATCTGTGCTGTGTCTTCTTAAGCCACAAGAGGTTGATGTGATTGTTTGGAGCTGTGTTTGACTGCAAGTCTCACATCAGCCATGTACTCTGCATGGCTCATTTGTTCTCTTGAGTCTGTAAGATGGAACTTGTTAATGCTTTGCCTCATGAGGCTGGTTGAAAAAGAAGGAGCTTATAAAACTGTAAAGGACAATCTTCCAATGAAACAGCGTGTGCTTTTAACATTGCTTTTGATAAAGCATTGCATATTAAAAAAATACTTAGGAAGTTGACTATATTTTCATGGAATCCTCTTCCTCATCTCCTTTTATTACTTTGTGTTGCTTCTGAAGAAAAACTAAGTGTCTTCTATGCTTGAGATAAATGGAGCCTTTGTAGTTATTTCCCATCCAGGCTACCAAGAATATACAGTATAGCTTCTTACTCTATATTATATTAAGTCAAGGGGTTAGAAAATTTATTTAGTTTTATAGTGAATAAGTTAGTTTGAAGCAGTTTTCCCATCAATAATTCTTTGTCTTTTGTAAATTCCATTCAACTAATTGTGTGTATAACTTATAGTGTATAATCTATAGTTCCCTTCTATTGATGCAGCTCCATCTCTTTGAAATTCTTGTCTCATAGCCACCATATTTTTAGATTTTGTAAATCCCAATTTGA